GACGTGGACACCTCCTCCGCGAAGAACATGTTCACGTCCCTCCGGGGCTCGACGGCGAACAAGAGCAAGACGCCTGCGCCCGTTGCGCCACCTACTCCGCCCGCCTTCGCGGCAAGGAGGAGCAATTACGCGCCGCCGCCGGTGAGGAGGGCGGGGTCGTCTCCAGCGCCTCCCGAGCCTGAACCCGAACAGGAGGAAGAGGAGGAGGCGGGCGAGTGGGGAGAGGCGTTGTACGATTATTCTAGCGAGGTAGGTGTGATGAGAAGGCGTCAAGGGGACGGTGCTCATGCGTTATCAACCAGGATCCGGGCGACCTCACGTTGAAGGCCGAACAGAGGATTCTGATCGTCGAGAGGACGTCAGATGATTGGTGAGAATATCCCAGGGCTCCTGTATTACTGTGTGTTCTTGCTGACCTGAGTCGTAGGTGGACAGCGGAGCTCAACGACAAGCGGGGCCTCGTCCCAGCCTCATACGTGAAGATGCTATGAGACGCTAGGCGCCGTCTTTCTCATATGAGAATGTATTAATGGACTATGGTGTACATATCTTAACGCACGGAGCGCGTGGAGCTATATGATACCTCGGACGGAGACGGTGACATTCGTGGATATCCCACTTTATCATGACACGACCGTGCTTATACACGTCTCAGGAGTGAGCTTGCGAGCGACGAGACATGGGAGAGCTTGCCACGCATGAGGCCTGAGGCCTAGCTGACAACGCCGTCGAGCTCCGGACGGCGTGTCGCATCCACTTTTCTTTCTCGTGTCCTTCTGGTCGTCCTAGCCTACTTGCTGTTTGTCCCACCGAACCACCACATCCCTGTGTCTTGTCAGTGCTCGAGGATTAGTTTTGGAGACTGCGACATCAGGCGAGTCTATTCCAGAGTTGCATGTTCCGTGCTGCTGTCTGGTCGCGCCACACGTCACTTGAACTGGCCATTTGTGTACGTGCAATCGAACCCAAACGGGTCTGGCAGATCCGGAAGTCCCCCCCATGAAAAATGGGCATCAGCAGCAAACGCAACGTTACCTGCTGACTCGATTCGCATTTCGTTGTCCGTCGGACAGCCGGACACGCGAGAAATCAGACTGAGTAACTTTTCGACAGAATCCTCGCGTGATACCTTACTGACGGTATGATCGATATTCTGTATTAAAGAACTTGCATTAAGTATCACAGACAACAACGAAGAAATACACTTCTACCAGCTCTTCTCTTCTCTACTCCTTCTTCACCTTTCCCCCCTCCTTTCTTCTGCCACCAACTGCATAGCCCACCGTCCCTACCCCTACAAGCATGGCCCCTGCCCACATCATCCCCAAGTCCCCCTGCCCCTCCTTGGGAAAGAACAGTACGCTAATAATCAGCGAGACCGCCTTCCTCACAGTCAACACCAGCGTCACAGTGAGAGAGGAGACGCGCGAGGTGAGGCGGTGGACGCCTGAGATACAGATCAGGGAGGTTACGGTTGTTAGAGCGAGGGCAAGGAGGCCCATAGGTACCGATAGGGAGCCGAGGGCAGGGGCTTGAGAAGGAGGGGTGGTTGAGTTGGAGGGGGGGAAAACGGGAGGGAGGACGATAAAGTTGGAGGCCGAAGCGGTAAAGGGGGATACGAGGTTCACCTGGACTTGCGGGCCAGAGGCAACGCTCGCGAGCTGGGACGTGAGATCTTGCCGGACAAACCAGAACATGGGCATCGCGAGGAAGTGGAGGTAGAACATTGATTCTTGCCATTGGGGCTTCTCGCTGACCTCTTTTCCCTCTGCCTTCACCTTCTCTTCATTCTTCTTGCTCTTTGTATCTGCTCCAGGTGCGCCGGGGCGCGTGTAGGCGGCGTACATCCGGTCCTGAGCGAGCCCGAGGAAGCCGGAGCAGAGGAGGGCGAGGGAGAGGATGGCGATGCCGGTCAGGTAGGTGAGGGTGTCGGTGTGCGGGAGGGAGGTGGTGGGGGTGGAAGCTGAGGCGGACTTTGGTGAGGAGTTGGATTTAGTCTGGGAGGCGGAGTAGGTCGTGAGGATTACGCCCGCTGTGACGAGGAGGACGGAGAAGACTTGAGTTAAAGTATATCTGAATACAAGTTGTCAAGAACAATCGCTTCATGCGTACTCAACGAGAGTTTACGGACCTTTTGCCCATTACTAGCCATCCTAGGCACATGCTAACCACCAGACCGCCACTCCGAAATATGATGTGCACTGGCATGGGGATCTTGTACGCGAAGGCCATATTATTCAAAATGGATACAAAGAGGAATAGGATAACTTGAATTATGTAGGCGCGTAGTGGTATTCGTGGTCTCTTAATGTGGAGTATTGGAAGGTAGTGCAGCAGGCCATGGCTCTTGTGGGGATACGTTATTGATAACAGGTTGGGCAGGCCTCGTAAAGACACTAAAAGAAACTGGGCAAACGTGATAAGATGCCCTGCATCTGGGTATTGCGACGTTAATTGCTCCAGCGTTAACGCATTACTGCACGCAAGTCTCAGCGTACGCGTTTTGATCATAAAGGGCCGTACTTGCCTGCAGCAGCCTCCGAAAATCAGACTGAGCGGCGCCAACCAGTCAAATATCACAGCAGACATGCAAAGAGATGATTATATGCTAAAAAGGACCAAGCAAGCAAGCAGAGCAGAGAAAGGAGGCGCCGCCGCCGTCGCGTATCGCAGCCACGCAGCCGTGACCGCCGGTAACGCACGCGTCACAGCACGTGGTTACTGAACGTCACATATTCAAGCTCCGCGAATCCCCGCCAGAGTCTGCGTCTGGCCGCCATTCGAATGCAGACCGCCGCCGACACCGTCAACCGCCAGACATCCGCTACACAGTCAGCCATGAGACATCCGAGACAGCGCCGTGACTGGATTTAAACGGTCGCTGAGCGGTATGGAGGGCTAACATCCTTTCCTTTCATCCTCGCACTGGCAGGGCCGGTTTCTACCGCGAACCACTTTGCACTTTGCATACCTTTAAGCTCCGCTTTTGGCAACCCAGTCTCGTCACCTGACCCAGCCGCGTCTGCTCAGGCGTATAAAGCCAACCACTCCGCGAACCATTCCCGCGCGTTTCTTTTCTTCGTCCATCTTCTATACACTCCCCTCGACGGGTATCCCCTCTTTCAACACACATTATGTCTGCAGACCGTCGTCACCCTGCTTCCCTCATTCCCCGCTCAGAGCACGACCCCGCCTTCGTCAATCTCATGCGCGAACCCGTCTCGTTCGACATGATAGGCTACATCGCCGAGGTCTGCAAGCGTGTCATCAGCGTCGCTGACGAGCCCGCCGCACAGTCTAGCTCTGCTCTCTTGACTCCCCCTCACACGCCAGCCAAGGCGACCTTCAAAAAGGAGCAAGAGCAAGCACCTGCAAGCCGCGCTTTTCCCTCGCTCGAGGAGTTCATCATCGGCCTGTGCAAGGCCTCAAATGTCCAGACCCCTACGCTTCTGACGGTTCTCGTATACCTCAACCGTCTGCGCTCCAAGCTGCCGTCGATGGCCAAGGGTGAGTGTATGCTGTCGTGTGCCACGACGCATTGCTAACTATCCTTAGGAATGGCATGCACTAGGCACCGGGTCTTCTTGGCGACGCTCATCGTCGCCGCCAAGTACCTCAACGACTCCTCGCCGAAGAACAAGCACTGGACTACGTATGCTCAGTTCTTCGACATCGCCGAGGTCAACCTTATGGAACGCCAGCTGCTCTTCCTCTTGGACTACGATCTGCGCTTCGACGAAGCCGAGGCCATCAAGGTCTACTCTGTCTTCCTGCCTACCTCCCAGCAAACCAGAGCTGCCGCCGTGGAGAAGGTCACCAAGGCTAGCAAGGCTCGTGGTCAAACCCAGATGCCGCCGACGCCTCCTCATGACTCTGCCCTCAAGAGCATTGCCAAGCGTCTCTCCAGGACATATCTCGACGTTGCCCCATCGACGCGCTCCTCTGACGCTAAAGTACCCTCCCCGATGTCTACCTCGTCTAGCTTCAGCAACAGCGGCGCCAGCGGCACCGAGTCCGACCCAGGCTCCATGACCGAGGACAGCGGCAACTCGTCGTCGACGTCGGAGGACGAGCTCGAGGAAGACATCACGAAGCAGGCGGCTAGGTTCATGCTCAAGCGTGCTCCCTCGCGCGTACGCAGACAAGGCCGCAAGGTATCGACGTCGTCTACGCTTACCGTCCGCGCTGAGTGCAGCCCCGCTTCCTCGCGGACGAGTGCGCGCTCGAGCTACCTCGCCTCACGCCGGGCGGCGTCCTACGCATACTCTCAGGCTCCGCTCGAAGATGGCGACGATGACACGGACAAAGCCGCTGGCAGGGGCTCTGTCTCCGCCGGGGGCTTCTTCACACGCATGTGGGGCGCAGCAACAAAAGGTGCGGGCGTGGAGAAGGCCGACATGTTCAAGGCTATGCCCGCCGTCGAGATCGTCGACCACTCCGAGGCAACTACCAGCGCATTCCGCCGGCTCGTTCATTCCAAGTCGGTCATGTTCCGCACTCAGGCTGGCACGCTCGACGTCTAGGCTCTTGGTTCTGCACGATATACACGGGATACTCGTCCATCGACTACCAACCCCTCATTAACACTGCCTGTCATTTACGTTCGCGGATCGACTTTCTACCACAGACTTTTAATGCTTTGCACATCACTACGCCGACTTCTTGATTCGTTCTATGCTAGCGCACACTTCTAATTTTATTTCTTCGTGATGCGTTGATTTGTTGTTTGACATGGATATTGCTGGATTTGTTGTAACACTAATATTAGCCCCCCACATTCCTTCGCCACACACCACTGTAGCCCTATCACCACCCCATGTATTTCACGACCCACGAACGAATGCATGTATAGTATATCTAGAAACATTATAGACGTACTTGTATTGCATCCCCCAGTCGGTCGCTTGTCCTTATTACTCAAGCTTGTGACAAGGTAGGACATTGTAACCTACTTACTCAGTAGCTAGATTCGGAAGAAAAAATGGTTTTGTCGCGGACTATGAGCCGATCCGGGTTTGAACCGAAGACCTTCTGCGAAGACGTGATATAATTTCAGCCACATGTAAAGCAGACGCGCTAACCAACTGCGCCATCAGCCCACTGCGGTCTAGATCCCGATCTAATATATATTACTTAAACACTGGTGGCATGCTCAAGGGAAATTTTCCAGTGACATCTGTACAGTATGCTAACATATGGTAAATGCGAGTCATCCTCACAAAGATTTCAAGCCTCTTCCCCAGTGGCAACGTTCCATATCTTCATGATCTGGAGGGCAGCGGGGTCTGTAGATCCCTCCAACTTATTGAGAGAAACGGTACCCAAGGTCGTGGAATAATTCCGCAGATATGGTGAGTACTGAGAAAGGAAAGACGCAAACCATCAGGCGGACGATGGCAAGGATTGAGATGGGGCGGAGGTACTTACTGCTCTGCAGAAATGCCTGTACCAACCCCACGTCTCCCATGTATTCCACTCCTCGTCAGTCCAGTTAGCGCGGTTATGCCACGCCTTCTCCGTAACGACATCGGGGGCAACGGGGCCGGCCTGCCCATCAGAGGACGCGGACCCCAAGCATGTGATGAACCCTTCCAGCGCCCTCGCCAGGGTGCTCTTTTGTTGAGACGTTAAGCTGGTGAAGGCCTTCACTGCGGTCGTCAGAACGGCCGACTCTGGCTCGTCTATCAAAAGAAGGTTAGATGACGGCTACGAGAAGTGGACAGAGGATTAACCCGGCTTGATCTCGGCATCAACCTCCATGCTCGCCACATCGCCACCTCCGCTCGCTTTGGCTCTAGCCCGAGTATCGTCCTCCTCCTTTCTCAGCGCCGTCACCCTCCTCCTTGCAACTAGCACCCGCCCGTTGGCCTTGTCTAGCGCGCCTTTCAGGAGGTCCCAATCATGTGCATTGATAACTGAGGAACCCTCCGAGCTACCCCGCTCATTGCCGACGCCGTTCGTGAATGTCCACCCAACGACATCCGTAGGGTCAACAATTTGGTACTGCATCAGCTTATCGAACACAATTGCGATCATCTGGCGATTCCTCTTCCAGAACAGGGATACCGCGGTGAGGATGTCCGTCTTGGCTTCAGGGCCTCCTTGGGCGAGGCTGCGGAGGACAGGGAGATAACGTTCGATGGCGTTAAGGAAGTGTGAGAAGGAGCGAGAGCCGATGTTTAGGAGCGATTGGACCGCGACAGAGCGGCCCACGGCGTCAACATTCACATCACCATCTGCCGTCTCGCCGATGGCTGTCTTCAAAGATTCAAGGTGAGCGAGAACATCGTCCGCCTTGGCGCGGCCCTTGAGCAAATTCAGTACGCTCTGGGCAGCATTATGGTAGGGATTTGCTACAGCAGTCTGTCAGCTACGGCGATTGCTAGTCAAAGGTATCAACTCACAAGGCTCGTCATACTCGAAATCCGGACCTGGCGCGTGCTCCGGGAGCACGGAGGCACCCTCGGCTTGGAACGCTTCAGGAAGCGTCTTCGCAATCCGCTCGAAATACGCCAACCTGATTTCGAACTCTACCGCCCGACGGGCGAACCCCCGCTTCGGATGGTTGTGCGATAGTGATAAGTCCGATACCCTGCAGAACGCCACAAATGAGTGAACAGCGTCCAAAGTGAAAGCGAAAGCGGCGCGCACCATTCCTTCCAGACCCACTGAAATCCGAAGTTACTCATGTGTATGGCGAACCACTCCGCAAAACGCCGGCCAATTTCGACGTCCAGGCCGTCCGCAAGGGACGCATACAGCTTGCGGATGGACTTCCCAACGGCAGGACCTACAGTGGACGGGGAAAGTTTGCAGATCTCCGTAATCAGACCGATGTAGTAGATGGCCTTGTACGTCGACTGAGGCAGAACAAACAGAGCGCCGAGCACGATCTACATTGCACAGTTATGTTTCAGACGGTATAGATCCGTTCAACGTGTCCAAAACAAACCTCCATAAGGGCGCTTTCCAGCTGCCAGTTCTTGCCAGGCACCGGCTCTGGCTGCAGCTCCGCAGGCGTCCCAGGTCTCGGTTTGAACGTGCCCGGCAGCGTCCATTTCGGATATTCAAGCAATAACCGCGCACACTCTTTCCGATTGACTTCAAATATCTCGACGATATCCAGGAGCGCAGATCGTACGGCATAACCAGCTGGGGACACTGGGTTCGGTGTAACCTGTTACACGCATGTTAAAACACAAAATAATGCAGGCGAAGGGAGTATACCTCGTTTTCGAACAGCCGAATGTAATATTCTGGCCACTCTTCCTTCTTGACCTGGGCTTCCTCTCCTGTATCTGCGGAGAGCCCGTCCAGCTCAATGATCTCGGGTGGTACGAGCACCGATGGAAGCTCAAAAGCCGCAGCACCATCAGGGAGGTCAGGGAGATCAGCGTACGGTTGCGGATAGCTGTCAACGCTCTCAGAAAAATCAGCCGAATTTAGTGCTTTGAGAACCGCTAGTGCTGATTCCAGTAGCTTGTAGCGAATACGTGAGATTCTACTCTCCAGGCCCCATGTGAAGATATGCACACCTCGTCAGCGTTCTCTAGACTGTCCAAGTTTGCATGGAATAGTGCTACAGGCTGGACTAGCCGTTTTGATGACGCAGTAGATTCAATGTATGTCTGGATAGCATCAATGATATCGGTGACATTCGTGACCGACTCTTCCTTGAGGGTCTTGCCCGCCTATCCTCAGTTTAAGTGAGTAGGAGATGGAATAGAGGGCAGGGCACTACGCACGATCATCAGTCCCTCTGCCGCACACAGGCCCGCCCTTTTGGCCCGACCATGGGAGACTCCAAACTCATCGAGCACAGCTACAAATGACTGCAAGAGACTGGACATGGATTGCACTGTGATAACTTTGGCCATAGTGAGATGTGCAAAAAAGTGAATCTACGGTCAAATCACAAGTCTCAGACAGAGCTCCGGTGGTGAGCGGGAAGGACTCACACATAGACGTGTTTCTCTCCATGATAGCTTATCCAGGAACGCTTGGAATCCCTTCCAGAAATCTTCAAGTATCTGTTTGCCTAGGGATGGACTGCCACTAGTAGAAGGCTCCGGTTCTCCTTCTGCAGGATCATGCAGAAGGCGAAGGAGATTGGCATAATATGGGATTTTGTAGGGCTGCTCGGTAACACTATGGGAGACTGTCAGCATGTATCAGATTTATTTATTGGCAAACACACCCTATTCGAAATCCCTCCGAGATAGCTGGCACACTTCCGGCTGCCTGTTCTCGTATCTGCTTCACTACTCGAGGAATTTCTTGAACGACATCCTGACTGCTGTTCAGTCGCCTTCATGGAAAAGACACGAAGTATACATACCACCTCCCCCAGTCTGATTATTGCAGTTCTTAGTTTCTGCTCCGGTGTCTCGTATACCTCTCGCCGCTCATAGTCATCTGTAAGAATCCTTAATGCTCGGTCGGACTGCAAGACGCGTTCCCCCATGCGCATTTCTCACCTCGATTCCGTCTTCGATTATTGTAAGGCCGGTCGTAGCTCATGAGTGAACGATTCAGATATCAATTTCCCGTCTGAAACTGCGACAGTGCCCGACACCAGACAGCACAGAGCAAGGCAAACTTGCAATGAAACAGTGTGACGCCGACTGCAAGGATCACGTGACTGATACAGAATCGAGACCACGCTCGACGTTCCCGAGTCCCGAGTCCCCTTGCCCGACGCTGCACTTGTCGTTGACTAGTGACTCGCGGCCGCGGCGAGCTCTTTGCTCTTAAGCAAAATTGATCGTGTAAAAAGTCAAGTCAGGCTCAAGAGGCTGGTGAGCTCAACCTCTGCATATATTGTACTAGACCGATTATAACACTGGCTTCAGTAATGCTTGATTCATGCAATGCAATCAGTCCACCATTGTCAATGCCTTTCATAGACTGTCGCTGTATACCTCGTCGCCGTTAGGCAGGAGGTCCATTAGCGCTCGAAATGTTCTCTGGCATCCGCTACGACATCCTCGCGTCCTCGTCCGACCTTCATGTGCCCCTCCTCATTGGTCGGCCTCTTCCGCCTTGCAAATTCTTGCTTCATCTAGACCATACGCCATACCCGCTACCGTTTTCCCCAGCCTGTTCGGAAATGAAGGTTCTGAAGATGTCCCCTCTGAAGCCTTACCAGAGCCAAGTCTAAATCAGCTCACGAATGCACAGGTGTCCAGAGCCGCCTCGCGAGCGGTCAGACTATGCTTCAAAGACGGCCAGATAAGCGAGGCGCTGTTTATCCTGAACTGCATGGCTTTGGCGCGTTATAAGGGCAAGTCTCCTGATCAGATTCCGCCCAAGCTGCTCCAACTGCCCGATCCCATCAACTTCAACCCGGACGTGTCTCGTCGGCCTACCGCCCACTGCATTCTACACGGTCTTATACGTTCCGGACTGGCCGAGAAGGCCGTTACACTAGCTCACCTCATGATGGAAGACGGTATCAAATTACGAGCCGCGACGATGAAGGCCATCATTGATGCACTCACTACCACAGTACGGCCACCCCGGATGGAGGCTGAAAAGATGAAACGCCTCGTACTCGACTTCGCACGCTATCCCGAAGAGGCCAAAGTACTGGAACTCCATACGAGCATGGTGACCGACGAGACTGTCCGCTTGGCCCTCGGACTCTTTATGAAAGCGAGAAAATATGGACACTATAAGACCAGAGGGATGTACGAAAGCTTGATCAACTTGTGCTTGCTTCAAGGCGAGATCCTCGTCGCCTGCTTGCTCTTCGTGCTGCTGGTAAAGGACTGGCAGATGCGGAAAGCCATCACCGAGCAAGTCATTAAATCGATGTCGGAGGCTAGCAATGGGTCTCTTGAACAGACCAGCACTACTCGCGTTCATATACCAAAGACTGGGAAGGCCAGGACTTTTCTACCTAAGCCGCACGCGGGCATCCTAGCTTCAATCCTGGAGGCCATCACCGCGTCATGGGACGAAGCTACGGCTGCTCGCAATCCTGCTCAATACCTCCTCCCGTCCATGCAGGGGCTAGCGAGCCTAGCGTCACTCCTTAACGACAATCTTTTGCCATTCACGGACATCTCGCGGCTAGTCAAGACGATGCACTCGATTC